ATTATTATAGAAGATCACTAATATCACACACTAGCAAAATCTTACTGAAAATTATCCAGAAAAGACTTGAACAATACATTGACAGAGAACTACCACAAATGCAGGCTGGGTTTAGAACTAATGAGGGACATTATTACCAATGTTAGATGGATCTTGGCAGAAAGCAGAGAGTACCAGAAGAATGTCTGTTTTTTTAATTGACTATGCAAAGATATTTGGCTGTGTGGATCATAATAAACTGTGGCTAACCTTGAGAAAAATGGGAATCTCAGAGCACTTGTTCATACTTATGTGAAATCTGTACTTGGACCAAGGAGTAGTCCTCAGAACAGAGCAAGAAAACACTGCAAGGTTTAAACCAGGAAAGGAGTGTGTCATGGATACATCCTGTCCCCCTACCTTTTCAATCTGTGTGCAGAACAGATCATTCGGGAAGCAGGGTTTTATGAGGAGGAGTGTGGCATTAGGATTGGAGGAAGACCCATCAACAACCTATGATATTCAAATAATACAACGTTGCTTGCTGAAAGTGAGGAGTACCTAAAGCACTTGCTTCAGAAATCAAGAACTGTAGTCTGCAATACAGATTGAAGCTAAACATCAAGAGGACAAAGATTCTCACCACTAGGCCAATTGGCAGCATCATATTAGGTAGAGAAGAGATTGAGGTTGTTATGAATTACAGCTTGGTCAGATCAACAATCAACACTCTTAACACAGGCAGTCAGGAAATAAAAAGATAAATTGCACTGGGAAAATTTGCTGGCATGGACCTCTCCAGAGCTCTGAAGAACAACGATGTCAGTTTAAATACAAATATGTGCCTAATCCAGGCCATGTTTTTCTCAATTACTTGTTATGCTTTAGAGTTTGACAATGACTAAGGATGACAGAAGAATAGATGCCTTCATTTTGTGGTGCTGAAGAAGAATCTTGAGCATATCATAGCCAAGAAAACAAATAAGTCTGTCTTGGAGAGAGTGAAACCATGTTTCTCTTTGGAGGGTAGGATTTTGAAGCTCCACCTCACTTACTCTGGGCACATGGCCAGGAGAGATTGGTCTATGGAGAAGGACATCATGCTCAGCAGGGTGGACGCACAGCACAGGAGGATGAGACCCCGGATGAGATGGACTGATACAGTAACAGATGCGGGTTAGTGTGTCGAAGTTAGTGAGACTGGCTCAGGACAGGTAAGGGTTCAGAGCTGCTTGTACATAGGGTCACTATACATCGCAGGCCACTCCATGGCACATAAAAACAATAAAATACTATGACAGTTTTGGAAGCATGAGTGGCATTCACTTCTTAAACAACATGCCTCTGGAAACTCTACGAACTTTGATAAATGTCGGTAGTTGAAGAGGGGCTTCGCCTTTTGTTTATAGGGTCGCTATGAGTTGTACTCAATTTGAAGGTAATCAACAACAACAGCAGTGTTGTCTTGAACTATGGCTAACCTGTTTCTTTGTCTAGATATAGATTTTCCATCAGCAAAATTAAGTGTTCTGAGATTCTAATTCATCTCAATATTAGCAGAATTTGCTATCATTCACTCAGTCAAATGTATTTGCAAGGTCAAAAGAACACGCATTAAACATCTTTCTGATATTATCTGGTTTCAGGCAAGATGCATCTGACATCAGCATTTATATCCGTTATGTCACAATCTCTTCTGAATCCAATTAGAATTGCTAGCAGTTACCTGTTTGGTTTTGTTTGTTGTTGCCTGTTTTTGTAATGATTCAGACATTTTATAATAATCTTCAGAAAGATTTTACTAGCATATAATATAAATGATATTATTTTATATTTCCACATTCTATTGAGTTACCTTACTTTTGAATTTGGAAAATTATGTGAGCCTGTTCTAGTTAGTTCGTCAGGTAGCTGTTTTTCAAACTTTTTGACAAAAAATTCTGAGCTCCACCAGGATTACACCTCTTTGTTGAAACATATCACTTGGTTTTCCATTAGTTCCTAGAGCCTTATTTATTTATTTTTATTTTTATTTTGTTTATGCCTTCAGTGCAGCTTGAACATCTTCCTTCATTATCATTGGTTTAGTGTCCTTATAGAATGCAGTAATACTTCAATACCTGCACTGTTGGTGTTTGCCATGTGACTTGAAGTGTTGTTAACACAAACCATTTTAGTTACATAAGGAGCTCTGACGGCCTAGTGGGATGTCAACTGCTCTACAGGATAAAAATGAGCAATCCCTTCCTATTCCAATTTACAGCCTCTGAAAACTTACTAATAGTCAGCTATGAGTCAGTTCCAACTTGATAGCAGTGTTTGGGACTGTTTTACAGTTCACGGGGCTTTGGTGACACAATTTTTACTGTATCAGATTGGACTATTAATTAAAACATTAGCAATTATAATCTATTCTAATTCTAATCTTAGGACTCTAAGAGCAAATGAGCAGTCTCCTTCAGTAAAGATTTATAGTTTTATAAACCTAATGGAGGGTCACCAGGAGTCAGGAGTCAAAGCAGTCTCAATAGTGGCGGATAAGATGTATTCTTCATTGGACAGAATCGCCAGATCTTTTCTTCCTCTGAAACTACTGTGTTCAGATTGTCAGTTCACCCTGGTTAGTCAACTGTGTAATAATTGTACTACAAAGACTTTGTATAAAATGGCAAATCATAACCACAAAAGATTGTTTCTACAAAATAAAACCAAAGATAGAGTGTGTGGAAATAATGATGGGATTATTTTAAGAAGAATAGAGATAATGGTTCCACAACTTGAAATATATACTCAATATCATTGACTTATACCCAATTGCTCATTTGGCTAATGTTTTGTTGTGAATATTTTCACTACAGGTTTAAAGCAACAACAAAAAAATCATATGAATGTGAAAAGAAAAACACTTTAGTCTATAATATAACTTTAGTATTGCATTCTGATATTCATTCCTTTCAAAATTGTTTTATACTCTTGCTTTAAACACTGCATAACACAGAATAACAAAATTTGGTACAAAAAAGACAAACTAACTTATTTTTCCAAATACATCCTCCTAATTGTTTGCTACATGCACTTAGCTCATCTCTTTCAAATCCATGTGGAACACCAGACCAAACTTAAAACATTAGTGGGGAAAAAACAAAACCTTATAGTTTGCACATTAAAACATTGACTGAGGCTCAAGAGTTAAAATGTAAGAGGTTTATTCTTCTTTTGTCAAGCAATTTCTACACACAGAACATCCACATAGTGTAAGCTACCAAAGAAGTATGTAAAAGACAGACATATACCAAATCATGAAATCACAGACATTTTTATAGTGGTTCATGTTCACAAGGGAGAAAACTGTTAAAAAGGAAAGTAGATTCAGTAACTAGAAACAGAAGCTGTTTTTTGTTGTTTATTAAATTTACCTCCCATAGTGTATCCTCAAGCAAAGAAATCTACTGAATAACACAGCTCAAGATGCTATATACACATAAACTATTACACATTATAAAATTTCTGGTTTCTGAGCAGTTTTACACAATTTAAACTTGAGAAAAATTTGTATTAAAAAAGACCTTGGTGAATTACCGTCAATAAATAGAGGTCATTTCAGCAGCCCATTAGCATTTTTTAGCAACAACAACAAAAAATAAAATTATCAAAACATGTAAATTATTACTTTATGCCTGGATATTGTTTCAATGAACTGATTTTCTTACTTTAACTATTCGCTCTGTCTTTTTAAAAATATGTTTTTCATACAATAAAGTTTTAAGTTTTACATCTATGCAGTGTCTCAAGTAAGAGGATTTTTTAGGTTTCAAACTACAGAGCACAATCAGTGAGAAGACTATTTAAAGATTATGAAGGAGTGAAATAGAAGTTATTTAGGAAAATTACTAGGGAATGAAGTTCTTTTCAAAGAGCAAAGGCAATGGAGAAAAACATCTTTACTCACCACTGATGGACTATCTCCTTACTTCCAAACTTATTTACTAAATCTCCTAAACCACAAATATCACCTCAATTGTCTTGACAGTTTTTTTCAGTTGTTTTATCTGCCTCTTAGTGTTATTTTTTCTCCATATGATTTATCTAAACAGATAAAATTAATGTTTAATTTCTTTTTATAATTTCAAATTCCTGCTAATCCTACCCTGGGATATATGAAAAGAAACAAATCTGCTAAAAATAAACATTTTTAACGAGTTGACATCCCAAAACAAATGTGCATTAAAGACATAATGCACTTTAGAAATGGAAAGAAAACTAAGCATTGCAAATGTTTCTGTCATAATAATTTTTCCTCTTTATCTCTCTAATTTCCATAGTATGTTGTAGATTATACTGCAAATGACAAATAGAGTTTATCACCTGCGTACAACCTAAAGCCTATTTATGCCTTCAGTGGCATTTTACTGATGGGTAAGCAAACGACTGAAGGCAGGATTTAAGTAAAAAAGCTGTCAATCTTTTATAATTTAATGATAAGTAATTTCAAATTGTGAGAGTGTTTGGGATGAGCTTTTAGTCTTCTTTTTCCTCATGTGACATTCCCTTCAAGGCACAAAAGATTATCAACAGTGGATAGGACGATATATATTGAATTAAGAATTTTAATGTTCCATAACTCCGTTTATATCTAGTTTAAGCACACCAAAAGGAAAGGAAAAGGTATAGGTAAACAACTCTCTATATAAGTGGTTCTTAAGTTATCTGAATTTCCCTGCATTTACTTATTTTTTAAAGCATTTATGATACTATGTTGTTGGTTTATTCATAATTCTAAATTTGCTTCTTCCAATTAATATATTTTATCCTTTAATATTTGTATTAGATATATCTAAACCATTTGTATTACTAATAGTGTAGGTTTAAAAAAAATTAATAAAGGAGATTATTCTATTTGGGTCAATTGAACATTTTATGTTTGGCTAGGTTATAAATATCAAAAGTTAAGCTGTAATTTAAATAATGGATTAAGTGCAATGTACTGTCGAACTCTTATTCAGTAACTAACTAACTGGGGCTTAGGCATCTCCAACCCAGATGACTGTATTTCCTTTCTCAACTTCAGTGATCTCACAGTTTAACTTATTGAGTCGTCCATCCAGAATAAAGAGAGAATCCTTGGAAGGTGTCATCAGGTACTGACCAAACAAGCCACTATCCTGGATTTGCCTGTTCTTCTGATTCCAAGGCCATTCTTCTGGCTTGAGTGGCTCCTTAAGGCTCTTTATCATCTTAACCTTTCCAGAGGCCAGTTCTACAAAGAGAACATCAGTTTGAGTGCTAGAACTACCATAGATGTTGTACTGGTTAGCTTCTGTAAAGGATGGCTGAAATGCCACATCAGATATGTGCAGATTTGTGTGAATATCAATAGCCTCCTGTATTTCTCCTCTGATGGTGATGTGCTGGACCCTTACAAGACCTTTTATATCATTAATGCTGACAAGATACTGCCCATCTGGGGAGACATATGGTGTGCCTGTTACATCACTGTTATATCCAATGACTGAATCAGTTACACCATCAACCATGAGTTGTGGTGGAACAGCTCCAGTGCTGTCAGGTTTACAGCCAACAAAGTAGTATCCTCCCAGATGTGTATAGGCCAGTGATTGTGGAATACACTTATAGTCCTTCAAGTTAATTGTCTTGATGTATGACATGGTTTCAAGGTCAATTTTTTGCAGTGCTGGTTCATCTTTATGAAGAATAAATCCAAATCTGCAAAAATGAAAACAAAAGTTAGACAGGGACTAAAGAATATTTACTAGAAGAAAATACATGTGGACAGAAGGGAAGGGCCATAAACATAGCGGAACTAATTGTAAGGCTAAACAGCAATATGTGTCACAATGGTGTTAGAAATACATTTTAAATTGTACTACCTCCTCCTTTCTGTAGGTCATTCTTTCCTTACTTATAAATAATTATAACTCATACTGTAGAAAATAGACTAATTTAAAAACACTATATACAGTTAGTTGGAACCACCAATTTTATTTTAACACAGAAGTGTATAATAGTAAGTATTATTTTGCATGTGCCTAAACTTCTGATATTGAACAAGATTGGTTAAAAACACCTATTATATCCAGTAAGGAAAAAAGTTTGGATGACTATCTATTTTACTCACTTTATTTACCTCTTTATTATCTTAAGAAAGTCAAAGTAATCTGACATACATCACTATAATTATCAAAATTATTCTTACTTTAATTTACCATCAAAGAACTTACCTATATATATATGTTTTTATTTATTACATTTTTAAAAAACACAAAATTAAATTTACTAACTGGCTAAACTGCAAAAAAACAGGACATGGGGGCACAAGGCGGAGAGTGTCCTTCTGAAAGGGACATAGAGACTCAGAAATAGCACAACCAGCTCCTCCACCAGAATAAAAATCAGATAAAGAGCCTATAGTCCAGCCTCATGGTGTCTCTAGAGTCACCAAAAGAAAGAAGTTAATTCATTAGTTGTTGACAGACTCACAGTTGTGGACTAAGAATGGAGTTTAATAGAGAAGTAAGTTGAAGAGTGAGAGAAGCAAAGAATATCATTCAAAATAACCCAAGGTTTTAGCCAAGCAGCCCAAAGGCACAATTTCTTAATTACTTCAGGCTCTGGTATGAATTAAGTAGGCAAATACAAGTCATCCAGGAAGGTTTGCCTCAGAGCAGTTCTAAGTCAGCTTCTCCTCCAAGTAGCAATTCTAAGTCAGCTTCTCCTCCAAGCATCTAGCAAGAATAACAAAAACCTTTGACTGTGGCCAGCACAAATGCAAGAAACCTCAGGTCACACCTTGCCACAATTTCTCAACAGCAGTGCCAGTCTTTCCACCCAATCCCCAGGGTTTCTCTCTCTAATCTCCCTCAAGTCTTGTCACCATAAATCTTGATTACCTTAAGTCTTGCTGCCTGGTGTGGGAAGCACTCTTTTTCTTATCCTAGTGCCATAGCTGTTGATGATTTGCAAGATCATACCGATTTCTCAGACCATGTGTCTGTAGTTAAGGTAACTGGAGACCAGAGAGGACTAACTATAATGGCTAGCAAAGCCAAGTTTTAGACTAATACCACAGGAACTATTTCTATGATTCAGATTTTGTAAACAGATAGCTGTCATTGCAGAGTGCACACTTTTTAAAAAATAACTATAATTTATAGATATTCAATTAATAGTCTTTAATAAATGTTTATTGAGCCATAATGAAAGACACTAGGAATACATTTCAGAAAATAACTCACTTTTTTCCTTGATAAGTTTGAAAATTTTGAGAGCAAATTAAAATAATAATTGTAATCAAGGCTTAATTACCAAATTTGGGGCTATATGTTAATATGAGCGCTCCGCTGAGTTTACTTCTTATTTAACATCTATAACTTTTTTCCTACATGCATTTGAAATGTCATGATATAAAACTTTGGAAATATTCCTGGTATATTTCAAAATGATTCTCAAATTCCCACTTGATTTGTTTCCTTTTCTAATATCCTAACATCTATGCTTGCATTCTTTCAGTAAAGATAGCTTATATTATATCTACTTTGACAAAAGTTTAGTCCAGACTACAAGATTAGGAAATTAAAATGTTATGTTCTTTTCAATAACTTTAAAATAATGTCATTAAAACATTAATATCTGCAGTAGAAACGTATTACAGTTTGTAAATCATCTTAAACACTATTGCTGTGTATTGAAGACTTGGAATCTACCCATAGATGACCAACTTGTAGATTTTCATAAGCGGTTAATCTCAGGGGAGAAGATTGTCCATCCTTCTCCTACTGAGCGGCTCATGGATTCAAACACCAGTTTCTTGATACTAGGCCACCAGAGCTCTCTATTAGTAATCAAAAACTCAAATTCCCAAATGTGCCCTATGCTACTTTTTTGTTAATATCAAAAGAATCAAACAAATCTTAGTTCAAACTTGTCCTAAAAATGTAATTGAATCCACTTGTAGTGGAATACTTTTCCGTTAACGTGAAAAAAAAAGTAAGGATATATAAATATGTAGGTACACATCCCTATGATTATAGGTGCTACTTTTTATGAAATCATATATTATGATGGCAGGTAGTATCTTTTCCCCTACTATACATTTTACATGTGCTCATAGCTAAAGCAGCAACGGGCATATTTAATAAGCCAATCAGTGTTTGGCATTTCAACTCTCCTCTTAACCTTGAGTTTTCTAGTCCCTTTGGGGAATGGTTACTGAATGCTAATGAGAAAGAATGAGACAAGCTCACTCCAACTATTCCTGAATGGCAGTACTAAAGAATATGCTCAAGTTTCTGTGACACAATCCAGCTTCTTCCAGAAGTAATTAACATTTTAAAAAATGATCTGGTTAAAAACGTAGAAGCTCTGAGTTGGGTGATAAAATTGTATCTATTTTGGCATCCATTCTGTATGCTTTTTAGGACTAGCAGGCTAGCTACAGAAGGAGATGAATAAGAATGTCTTCAATTTTTTACCAGTGATTTATTGGCCAGGCAGTGATGTCTCTAATTCAAAATTTCCCCCTAGTACAAATTGATATTCAGAAATCTCCCACTGTTCATTAGTCTCTGATTAATATTTACGAGGCTCTCAACTTTCATGCCTGCTTAGTATAATAAAATCCTGCACAGTATCCTGCACAGTACTACGCCTAACTCAGTCTGCCTAATATTCGTCAAAATGTATATAGGAAGATACAATCTGTGAGAAATGAAAGAGTTAAAACTTATTCTCAAAAAGAAATTTCACTAAGAAATTAATTCAACAAGAAAAATGCAGCATTTAGGTATTGCATCATGAGGATTTATCAGAGTTGGTTAGAGAGTCCCTTTTCTCATTTTTTTTTCTGAATATATCATTGTCTCACAGGACATGGGGACATAGGGCTGTTAGTGTCTTTTTTAAAGGGCCAGAGGGAGTAAGAATAAAACATCCCCTCATGGTCTCATAGCAGAAAGCAGGTAAAGAGCCTGAAGTTCAGCTTCATGGTGCCTCTAGCTCCACATCAACAGCAAGAGGTTACATTATTCTTTGTTGACTCACAGACATTACCCACAGTTGTGGTGGTACCTAGGATGGGGTTTATTATGGAACTATGTTGGAGAGTGGGGGAAACAAAGAATATCACACAGTACAAGTCCATATATCATTAGCCCAATAGTTCCAAAGCACAATTCCTCACATAGTCCTGGATCTGGTTTCACTTCAGTGGTAAGCTTTTCCTTTCACCATCAAAGGAAAGGATAGCACAGTTCTTTAACTGTGCCCTTTATCTTAGGGTTCCTTTGGTTACATTCTGCTACAGTTTCTTAACAGCAATGCCACAGTCTCTCCACCATCATCACCAGTGTCTCACTCTCAACAGAGTCTTGTTCTAATCTCCCTCAAGTCTTGCAGTTCAATATGTTTCAATTCTCTCTCTCTTATCCTAGTTTCATATCTGTTGATAATTTGCAAGACTGTGTGTCTGTAGTTAAGGTAACTGGAGACCAGAGAGTGCTAAAACAATGACTAAAAAAAAAAAGAGTCAAATTTAGGCTAAATGGCAAACATCATTCTAAGTTCCTCAACAGTCAAGCCAGCTTCATTTCATAGCAGTCACAAATCAACTCTTCTTTCAATCATCCAATAAGCAGATTGTTTAGATCCAGTTTTATCAAGCTATAATTTGTCATAATTCTTCACAGTACGGCAAGCTCTCCCTCTTATGTTGGCCCCACAGCTACTGATGATGTAAGGGACACTGATCAAACACAAATCATATGTCCATGATTAAGGCAGTTGAAGACCATGTACCCCGAGAAGGTTAAGGCAATAGTTAGAAATTTTTGTTTTTCAAAAGTACTAACACCATAGTAGAATATATGACCAAATAGTTATTATAATTATGTGCTGTTGACTGTGAGTCACAAAATCTCTATTAACAACAGATCTGAATTCTTCCCTATCCTGTGTCAACCTCACCATCTCTGATACACTCAATACAGTCACTGTGCCAGTCTATCTCATTGAGGATCTTTCCCTTCTTCAATTACCCTCACATTTCCAAGCACAATGTCCCTTTCCAAGATATAGCCCTAGACTCTATCAAGAGGAACGTGGCATGAGGAGTAGAGGAAGATTCATCAACAATTTACATTATTCAGATGATACAACTTTGTTTGCTGAAAGTGGAGAGGATATGAAATGCTTGTTGTAGAAGATTAAAGACTACAAGCTTTGGTATGGATTGTATCTCAATATAAAAACAAACAAACAAAAACAAAGATCCTCACCTCAGGACCAAAAGTCAACATTATGAAAAATGGAGAAAGAATTGAAGCTGTCAATTATTTCATCTTCCTTGGATCAACAATCAGCATCCCTGGTAGTTAAGAAATCAGGAGACATACTTCATTGGGCAAGAATGCCATTAGAGATCTCTCCAAAATGCTAAAGAGCAATGATAGTAGTTTAAAGACTAAGGTGCACCTGATTCAGACCATGGTATTCTCAAGCACCTATTATGCATTAGAAAACTGAACAGTGAATAAAGAGGACAGAAGAATCAATGTCTTTGAGTTTTGATATTGGAGAAGAATGCAGAAAATACCACGGACTGCAAAAAGAATCAAGAGGGTCTTGGAAAACGTGTAGCCAGAGGGCTTCTTGGAGCCAAAGGTGAAGAAGCTTCATCCCTCATACTTTGGACATATTGATAGGTAAGGCTA